TTCTTCTTGGGTAATAGATCGATCTAATTCTTCTTGGTCATCATCATTATCACTATTAGACAAATCAATATGCATTGGATCATCGATTGGATCATTGAATTCTACTGGTATATACTGATTATTTAAATTTATATTATCTTCAATAATTCCTCTCGATATAATGTCTCTTTTTGTATTATGCTTTTTTTTTGTACGTAGATCAACCATTTGACCTTTACATTTATTACATTGATACTAAACTTTTTTTGAACTTTATTTATATCCATCCTTCGATGAATTGCTTGATTGCTTTATAAACGACTTTTTGGCTTTTCGATTTCTTGTCATTTTAAATTTGAGAATTAAAAGAGAATAAAAAAAAAAAGGATTATTTTATTAATATTTGTTATTTATACTCCATCATGAATATAAAATGGGATACGAATATCAATTTCATGATTAACAAACTATTCCTTTTAAGTATAACAATCACTGTACGATTTTACACTAATCATAAATAGTTTAAGTTATGTAAGTATATCAATTGTCATTGTTATAAGAGAAGAAAAAAAAGTTTATATTAATTATCGTTATATTAACAATAAAAAAGGTGTTTGACGTTTATTATATATAGATATACAATTTTATGAAATACAATAATTACAATAATTTGTCATTATGAGTTTGTTAAAAAATAAAGGTATAAAAGAATATGATCTTTACTTTCTTTTAGAAACTAATTTTTACATTCTCTTGTTTTTTCTTTGTACTAATGCGTTACCGAAAACAATATTCTAAGCTTAACATAAACTCGAATCACCATCGCACAAATTCATGTTCTTCAAGAAGAAATGATAATTATTCTCATTCCTTAAGAAGAAATGATAGTTGTTCTCGTTCCCTAAGAAGAAGTGACAGGTCTTGTTTCTCAAAAAAAAGAGATAGTTGTTCTCGTTTCCCAAAAAGAAATGATAGGTTTCTTTTCTCAAAGAAAAGAGATAGTTGGTCTCATTCTATAAAAGATAGTCATACTTGTTCTATAAGAGATAATCATACTCGTTCTATAAGAGATAATCAATCTTGTTCTGCGAGAGATCGTTCTCATTCTGTAAGAGAGAGAGATTAAGATAATTAAAAAAAAGCTTTTAAGTTATACTAATCATTCACTATAATAATATTTAGAGAGAACGTTCTCATAACTTCAGAAAATCGCAAACTCAAACCCTATCATTCGAAAATCAAGATCACAAACTCCCATTATTTATAATCTGAGAGAACATTTGCTTAAAATTCAAGATGAATATGCTCAAGATAAACATATGCAAGATGAACGTACTCAAAATGAACATTCGCCTACTACATATGGTATTACTCAAGACGTTAAACAAAATAATATAATTAAGTCTCTATAATTTTATTTTCTTATTTAATAATATTATGTG